TGTGTGAATGTGTGTGTGTTTGAAAGTGTGACTCCTCCGTGGTCAGTTCTTGGGGAATAACGGCCGTGGGTGTGTTCCACAAGCCCCCTTTCCCTCCTCACGTCTCTCCCTCACTGCAAATAACTTGCGCCACGCCCTGTGGATTTCCTCCTGCCCAAACATGAGGGCATCTCTCTGTTTTCAGACCTGTTCCTTGTGCTGTTCTGTCTTCTCAGCATCACTTTCCTTTGCGTCTCACCTGGTCTTTTTCTGGAAATGCTTCAAGTCCACCTCAAGCCAGCTCCTGAGAGGACTGCGCAGCCTCCTTACTCATGTCTCCTCTTCTGTCGCAGCAGGAGTGACTGGGTATATTGTAGCCCTGGCTTCCCCCGTTAATGTACGAACCCCAAGGGGACAGGGCCCATCTCCTCTCATTGTTCCAACCCCAGGACCTGTCACAGTGCCTGCCACACTTAGAGGGGTAGGAACTGCTTGCATTGTAGAATTACCTGGGGCAGCAGGTGGTGAGGTGTCTCCTCAGATTTGGGTTCAGAGCAGGATGTCACTCTTGTGTTTCCATTACAGCTGCACCAGCCACAGCCACAGCCACAGCCCCAACCCCATCTGAGGCCACAACCAACACTCACATCACTTTGATCCTCTCTGTGATCCTCAGCTTCATCCTAGTTGGCATCGCAGGTAGGGCCTTACGATAACAGGTACTGAGGGCAGGATTGAATGGGAAGGGAGGGGCTGTTCATTTTCCGATCACCTGGACCTCAAACCTTCTAAGTCCAGCGACTGCCCTAGGTCAGGATGAAGCAGCAGAGGCAGCACCTCATGTCCGTTGTCGCATGTGCTGGTCATCATCTTTGGTGTTTTTTAACATATCATGTCACTCTCTCTGGTGCTAAAGATGTAATTCCTGTGTTTAAACTTGAATAGCTTCAGTAAGAAATCTCAACAAGAACATCTTCTGTCTTCTTTGTAAAAGATCAGATACATCTCTGCACCATGACTTGTTACATGCAAACATTACTGCCAAAAAGTACCAAACCTCAGGGCTTTGTTCTGTGTCCTTAAAAGCAATCATGTATTTTATTTAAATATGNAAAGATCAGATACATCTCTGCACCATGACTTGTTACATGCAAACATTACTGCCAAAAAGTACCAAACCTCAGGGCTTTGTTCTGTGTCCTTAAAAGCAATCATGTATTTTATTTATTTAAATATATCTTTATTGGTCTTAGAGAAAGGAAGGGAGAGGGAGAGAGAGATAGAAACATCAATGATGAGAGAGTCATTGATCTGCTGCTTCCTGCAGGCCCCCGACTGGGGACTGAGCCCACAATCTGGGCAAGTGCCCTGACTGGGAATCGAACCGCGATCCCCTGGATCCTAGGTCAGTGCTCAACCACCGAGCCATGCCCGGCCCAGCAACAATCATGTATTTGAAAAGAAAAGTATATTTATCACTGTTTGCAGTATTGGCTTATAATGATATTTAAATAACTCAGTATTCTAAAAAACTTAATTGCTTTGGAGTTTTATTTCATTCTTTTTTTTTAGAGAGTTTTTCAGTTTATTTGAGCCAAACATGACATAAACCAACAGTAAGATCTGAAATGCTCCCGACAATAACAAGTTTTTTTCTGTCTATGAGGTTTTTGTTTGTGTTTTTTTGCTTAATCCTGTCACCTTTTTCACCCTGCCCCACAACACCCTTCCCTCTGACAGCTGTGAGTCTATTTTCTGTATCCATGAATCTGTCTTCACTTTGTTAGTTTATTTTGTTCATTAGATTCCACATATGAGTGAGATCATGTAGTACTTGTCTTTATCTGCCTGGCTTATTTCACTCAGCATATACTCTCCAGGTCCCTCCATGCTTCACCAAAGGGAAGATTACCTTCTTTTGTTGTTGATCCTTACCCAAGGATATATTTTCTATAGATTTTTAGAGAGACTGGAAAGGGGGGAGGGGGAGAGGCCCATGGGAGGAGAGGGAGAGAGGGAGGGAGAGAGAGAGAGAGAGAGAGAGAAACATGGATGTGAGAGAGACACATCGATTGATTGACTCCTGCACAAGCCCCTGACCAGGGCTGGGGAACCAACCTGCAATCCAGGTATGGGCCCTTGACCAGGAATCAAACCCATGACTCTTTGGTGCATAGGCCGACACACTCTACCACTGAGCCACACTGGCCAGTGCAAATTTTCCTTCTTCTTTATGGCCAAGTAGTATTCCATTGTGTGAATGTACAACATTTTTATCTACTCATCTACTAATGGGCACTTGGGCTGCTTCCAAATCTTGGCTATTGTAAGTAGCGCTGCAATGAACATGGGGGTGCATATATTCTTTCTAATCAGTGTTTCAGGTTTCTTTGGATGTATTCCCACAAGTGCAATTGCTGGGTCATAAGGCAGTTCCATTTTTAATAGTTTGAGGTATGGAGATTTGTTAGAGTGTTCATAGCATTGCACTGTTCCTCCATGTTGTGAGGAAATATTACCAGTGATTCTGCTAGAATTTCTTGTGGAAACGGAGAATTTAAGGGTTGCACTTAAGTTAACAGGCTTCTTGTGTTGGTCTCAAACATTATCCCGATGCTCTGGATGCAAACAAATGTTCTGGGATCTAAGCAATGAGAATCTTCTGGTTTCTCCACATTGCCCCACCCACCACAATGACTTTCCTGTGATCCCTCCTGACTCACCTCCTTCAGTGAGAAGTAAGTCTTCACAGCAGAAACGTGTCTACTTCTCAAAGTTGTTGTATGTCCCCACGGACAAAGGATCAGTATTCAGAGTATATAATGACTCCTGCAAAGAATCAGGGTAAGTCTCATTTACCTAAATTTGGGCAAGTGCTTTGCGCCGTTTGCAGATGGTAGAATAAGCCTGTGAGAAGATTGTACGTGCCCTCGTTGATGTGGCGCCGTACCGTGGGTCAAGAGGTCATGGGTTTGATTCCCGGTCAGGGACCATGCCTGGGTTGTGGGTTCACTCCCGGGGGCCGCCTAGGGTGTTCAACTGTGTGTTCAGTGCATGTAGGAGGTAACTGATCCACAATTCTCTCACATCAATGTTTCTCTTTCTCTCCGCCCCCCGCCCCCCAACTCTCTAAGAATAGCATGTTCTCAGGTGAGGATTTTAAAAAAAAAAGATTGCCCGGCTTGCATGGGATTAACCTATGATCCAAAGATCGCAGTTCGATTCCCGGTCAGGGCACATGCCTGGGTTGCAGGCTCAATCCCCATTGAGGGGCGTGTGGAAGGCAGCAGATCAGTGACTCTCATCATTGATGTTTTCTCTTTCTCTGTCCCTCTCCCTTCCTCTCTCTGAAATCAATAAAGACATATTTTAAAAAAAGAATCACAAAAAAAAGATTGAACATGCACCCAAATCATTAAGAACATGAACAATGGGATACCCTGACATACCTGTGACACTGACAGAATTTCAGTATCTCTGTAAGAAATGATGGGCAGGAAATGGAAGGCCAGGCGTTCTCTCACATTGGTAGTAGGACTATAGTTGAATCACTCCTTTCACATACGTGTCACCACATCCAGACCGTGGGTGAGAACTTATCCTGCTACTCAGAAGTCCCAGTGTTAGTTCCAGGCTGGCAAACGTGGACCAAAAAGCATGTAGGTATATGATGTTATTGTGACATTGTGTGTCACAGCACTAAATGAACAGTAGGATACCCTGCTGAAGTAGAATATATTTTTCAATGTTGTTTACAGATTTCTGTTTCTCCCTACTGGAGGAATAATAATCTGAAGTATCAAATAAATGAAGCAAAATGCTTAATGAAATACTCTTAAACCTTTCATATATATATTTGAGAACTAGTGGTTGACATACAATAGCATTAACCACATAAGTCTAATCTATCCACATACATTTAAAAATTATATAGATCAACACAAAGGGCAAGTAAAAAGCCATAACCCACATCTTCAGTGCATCAAAGAAGTGAAAAATTACCTAAATCCATCAGTTCCTTTGAGTGTAAAACACATTATCAGAACAACTGTTAAAACAGGAATGGAGTCTGAGGATTGGATAGCAGTAATGTGTTCATGTGAAATCTATTCTGGTGGTTGTGTTCAGGTGATAGTGGAGAGTGGCCTGGTTTTTAGGAGATACATATATGCCATCAGAGGACATCCCCAAAAATGGGAGGCATCAGTGTGACAGGTTCCTGTCATATGGCTCAGGAAGAGTAGTTCTCCGTACAGAACCACAACTTCTGCATCTGTTTGTGCTTGTTTGAGAAGGTTGTACAGTTATTAAAAAATGGGCATTTAAGAAAAACATGATTTTCAGAATTTGATGGAAGAAGGTAACTAGCTCAACAATACAATACAGATCCTGCTGCTTCTTCAAAGGCTGGTCCTCCCACCTTGTTCCCTTCTCACCCTTCTGGGCTCCAGCCTTGGTCAGCTTCTCTGTTCTTCACCTCATCCGCACGGTCAGCCCAGGCCTTCTAGAGAGAAAGCAGCTCAGGCCTGGATTGGGAGGTGTGAAAATTCACTCATAGATCCTGACCCCACTGTGATACAGGAGCTTCCAGGTAACCAAGTTGGAAAAGGGCTCAGCAGCTCTTCTGGGATAAATGAGCCCACCAAGTCCAGAGTGTGTGTGTGTGTGTGTGTGTGTGTGTAATCCTCCCTCTCTGTCCCCTTTCACCTCCTGAAATATTCTATATCAAGCCACTGCCCTATCTGCCCTTTCTCACTTCGTCACCACCATGACTCTAGGCGTTCTGTTCACAGACCATGATGATGTGGATGGATGGATAGACGATGATAGATACATGATGATGATAGATAGATGATAGATGATAGATAGACAGAAAGATAGAAGATAGATGACAGATTTGTTATAAAGTATTGGCCCATGTGATTATCGCAGCTGCCATGTCCAGAACTTGCAGGGTAGGCTGGGATTTTGGAGCCCAGGAGAGCCAGTGGTACACATGAAGTCTGAAGACACTTTGCTGGAGAAGTCCCTCTTCCTTGGGGGAGGTGAAAGGGGGGGGTGCTCAGTCTTACTGTTCTTTTCAGGACATCAACTGATTTCACAAGGCCTACCAACATGTGGAGGGCAATCCGCTTAATTCAAAGTTCATCAGCTTATTACACGTATGCTGGGTAAACAATCCTCTCCTGTCCCCTCCCTGTGTCCTAGCACCCTAGTCCACAGGCAGAATATCACAACTGCTGAGAGGAGCTTGTATATTTTGTGCTCCATACTTCACGTGGTCATTGGAAATACAACGTGTTCGTTTATAAATTTTGGAAAACAGTACAATAGCCTAGTATATGCTGATGCTCAATCATTCTGTGACAGATTGAATTACCTTGGGGAGCAGAAGCTGAAGGAGTTTCTCCTCAAGTGTAGGTCTTACTATAAACATAACCAACCATGACAGACCGCCCTTACTCTATGGCTGCAACACCACCTCCTCTCAGTTCATCACCAGGATCACTCTGGCCACCCCCAGTAGGGAAGCCCTAATGGATCTTCATCTTGACTCTAATGAGGGCAGTGGGTACTGTGGGCAGACATAAGAGGAAGGTTGGAGTCTGATAGCTCCTGGCTGAGGGGAGGTCTTAGCCTGGTGAGAGGACCAGGGAGTCCTGAGTCCCACCCAGCCCCATCCACTGAACCTTCTCCCCATTAAATGAGCAACACAGACTAAGACCTCCCACTCCACACATTCGCCTAGTGAAGACAATGAGCTCCAAGAGACAATAAGTCCCTATTGTCCTAAGGCCATGGGCAAGGGGAGGAAGCCTATACCAGCCCTCTCTCCTCTTAAGCTGAGGGATATGGGATAGGAACAAACTCTGTGAATTAACAGATATAAAAGATATAAAAGGTTCTAGACTAATTCACTAGAGTCATTACGCAGGAGGGGCCTGTGCATGTGGTTTGGAAGACGAGACCCACGGGGGTGGGCAGGACCCAGGCTTAGTTGGGGTTAGATCTTGGTAGGTCCAGGTGATCTCTGTGTGACAAGCGACTCCATACATAGGGTTGGGGGACAGAAGCCTGAGTTTAAACCCTTAGGAGGAGGCAACCAGGAAGGGCCTGGTAGGCTCAACCCAAAAGGCTGGGTTAAGGAGGCAAATGACTGGGAAAACAGGAGGAAGGCAGGAGGCTGGCATTAGAGCCCTGGCAGGAAGGCCAGGTGGGAGTGATACAGTTGTAAGAACCCAGCTTTTAATTAACTGGAAGAGAACAGGGGTAAGGCCAAATAGTATAGGCATGCCAAGCACATGCCCTGGATGACATAGGGAAGAGAACTGACTCAGTCAAACATGGGAACATGTCATTGGCCCAAGTAGGTGTGGCCACTGCAGCACGGGAAGATTTGAAGTACAGAAGTTCCCACTCGTGGGTACTGGGCTCCTGGCTCTTTTGTTGCAGGTTGTGTACCCCTGCACTAGCCCACATGGCCCATGGCCATGTGGACCCCACACACAGTGAACTGATGGACTGGGACTAGCCTGATGCTGTGCCAGATCCAACTCCACCATGGAACAGAAACTCTGGACACTGGCTTTCCTTCTAGCTTTGCTGAATCCCCAGCTGCATCTCTTCCAGGACTGGATTAAGGGAAATGGGACTTTGGAAACACAGGGATATAATTCCATGCAAATAAAAATCACTCATCCTCCCATGCAAGTCTTAGAAAGTTATTTTTCTCAAGATATCATAAGAACCTGGCCCCCAGTACTCAGTGGGGAAAGGGATTTCCCACTTTCACCTATAACAAGAGAATGATGGATCTTTGTGGACACCTGCTTATCCCTGGCTCACCCCCAATGTACATTCCTGGTCCCCAGGCTCACACCAGACCTGACAAGCTGGTGGAATTGGCTCCTGAAGCTGTTTTAATGGATGGGACTAAAGCTCACACTTCCAGACACAGGACTCATGTATCTGGATGACACTCTGGCTGATGTACCTGTGCTAGTTTCTTCATCTTTCCATGCATGCATTTCGCACTGGGATCTAGGAAATGAAAAGATTAAAATGAGAAGATCATGCAAGTAGCCCTGAGCTTGCGCAGGCCGAGCACTCACCACAGACCTCCTAATGGTGCTGCCCTCCTAGGAGTCGTGTGGCCTCAAGGGCACCTGGCAGCGACTGCAGTTGTGTGGGATAAGTACCTCGGAGGTGGAGGAGCCTGCAGCCCACCGTGGCGCGCTCCTTTAGGGCTAAGAGGCCACTTTTTTGTAGACTAAAAGTCACTCAAATACAGACCCTCAAAAACTTTAAAATTTCTCCTTTTCATGGAATGACAAGAAATATTGGACTAATTTTTTCTTTTTTTCTATTTGTACCTCCTACTTCTACCTCCTACTTGGTTCTGGATCTGAAAGCTATAGGTTTCTAAATGTCAGCTCTGAAGATAAAACATTAGAGTAGAGACTGCCATTTTTCTATCCAGTTATTTATTTTTGCCCTCCTAAAAAATACATTTAACCATGTATGATTCACAATGTTCAAGTATGCAATCAAAAGATTTCCAGACATGCTAGAGAGGAAGAAAATGTGATCCATAATCGGGAGAAAAATGAGTCAATAGACATTAACTCGGAAAAAAACAAGACTCAGAAGCTGCTCACAGGCAGCTAGCCTCCCCTGGGTTGACATTTTCATAGGCCTTATTATGTCATTTAAAATGACAACTCCTCTTGGCCGGGTAGCTCATTTGGTTAGAGCGCCCTCCCTGTACGCCATGGTTGTGGATTAGATCCCTGGTTGGGGCACATACAGGAATTGATCAAAGAATGCATAAATCAGTGGAACAACAAAACTCGATGTTTCTCTCTGTCTCTGTCTTTCAAATCAATAAAGAATTTTTAAGAAAAAATTAAAGACTTATTAAAAAGTAATAAAACACATCTCCTATTGATCTTACCTGAAGGCCTCTCCACAGGCTGTAGAGATAAGTCATCAGGTCCCCATATTTGCTGTGTTCATATTTCTAGTTATGTTTGTGGAAACCTGAGTAAATGTGACTACTGTTTTTTATATTTTTCACAGCACTGTGCTATTTCTGAAGGACGACATCTCAGGAACCTAACATGGAAACAATCGGGGATGTTGGAGGTGAAGGACTGAGGATGGTGTCTTTTGGTTCTCCAGTTGAGCTAGTCTGAAGCAGTCCCCGAAGTCACCAGGATTTGTGGAGAGGCCCTTCTCCGGAAGAGCTCATGCCCCTTTGAACTCAAGATTTGAGAAGGTCTGGCTGGTTAGTAGAAAAAGGTTGGCTTTATCAGCTGTGCCAGGCAGTGGCTAATTGGAGACTTCAGCATAATATTGTGAAGACGCTAAGAGTTCCAGAGTTTTCTGTATCCTGTCTCATTTCTGTGTTGAGACAACCTTTATTTCCCCCCAGACCTTGCTTTCTCATTTTTGGATCCCTAGTTGCTACTAGCGACTGTAAAATGAACACTAGCGACTCCCCCTTTAGGCCGCCTGTGGAAGTTGGTTGGTGGAACTGCCAAGATGAGTGTATGAAAAACCAGTGTTGACTGATGCAGTTTTACATGTCATACTTTAAAAAATGTGTGCAGTAGGTTTTTCCCCAGACTAAAGCAGTGGAGCAATCTGTTGTTTTGAGGTTAGGAGTATTATGAAGTGTAATTGAGAAGCCCTGGTAGATTGATAAAGGTCATTCACCTTACTTATTAAGACTGTGAAATACAGAAATATAACAGAATAAGCTGCAAGAAAGAAAAAAGAAAGTTTGGCTTTGAAATAAACCCTGTCCTGACTCAAGTGTGGCCGGCCAAGAACCACTGTTTAGAGCAAGAACAGAGCGGACTTTTTGGACACTTTTGACAACCTGATACGGAGTCACCGTGAGCCGTGGCAGTCTGTCAAGCACTGTGTCAAGACCGTGGTAGTGAGGTGTAACGGACCGCACCACGCCGCAAGCCTGGACGCTTGGGGAAGGACTCCGCCCGAACACCGGCGCGAGCGCGGCCTCCACCGG